GTAGAAGTGGGCAGCTTGGCAGTAAATATTTTGGGTTTTAGAGCATTTTAGATGCCCCAAATGTATCTCTGTTTTGTGATATATCTCTGTATTTCCTTTCATGGCCAACATAGCTACCCTTGAATACATTTCAAATTACAAAGGGCAACAAAAGGAGAGAGAAAGACAGAGCGAGACCTCTTATTAGAAGCAAGGGGTCAGCAAGTCAACATTAATGTAATACTTGTCACATAGTACTTAAGCTGTGCTAAAGATTGCTCTGTTAGAGCTTTAGCATGGTGCTTGCTATGCAAACTGTGGAACTGCGAGAGCTGTAGTACACAAAAATGATCCCACCCCAAGCTCTGAAACTGGATCACCTTGCTAAGATGACGGAATACTCCACCTTTTCAACAGTTTACTTCAAGGAAAGCAAGAATCCACCTTCAACTTTCCACGTACGTTTACACTTTCAGGGCCCTTCAACACAATCATACAACCCAAAATATCAAGGCAGAAAGTCCCACAGTATCTGCTTTGAACTGGGTTATCTGAGTCCACACTGCCATATATTCCAGTTCAAAGCAAAAAATATGGGATTTTATTCAGCTGTGTGGAAAGGGCCTCAGAATAACTTATTAAGCCCTCTAGTTATTGTGGAAGCAGAGGTCCTTTCTGAAAGCTAGCAATGGCTCTAACACACAGAGAGAAAAGAAAATGTTTTCTCTATTGTACCCTTCACCTTGTCTATCTCTGGACAAAAGGTGCTGGAGAGATGTCACTGCTTATTGTCTCCACTCCCTTGAGAGAAAACTGCTGTCACCTAACTAGGGTGCGTTTTACACTCTACCTTTCGCTATTGTCAAAGTGACATGGTTAGTGGCCTCCTCTCACAAGTCAGGGCAGCAAAGTGAAAGCAGAAAGGAGATTGCATTGGTTGTTTTGACCAAATCCATCATGTTGGCTTGACCCCATCAAATGTTAAAGCATTAGAAGACCACTGACAGGCAGCCAAGAATATCTTCTGGAAAATAAAGTTATTGCCTAACACAAGCTTGCATTGTCTATGATTTGCCATACATTTCATAGTCAAATACATATTAAGAATTATACTCCACTGAGTTTTTGAAAAATGCCTCCCATCCATTTTACCTGCCTCCACTTCCCTTCCACTTGTCCATCAGCTAGGCAAAGAGCTTTCCACTTCAATTCCAATCACCTAAATGCAACGGTAGCCTACCCAGGAAGTCTATTTAGGATGGAGAATCATATGGCGTGGCTTGATTTTAATTATACAAAATCCTGCTCTCCACAGGAAGAGAAGCTTGATTCTGAAGGAGTCTCTCTCAGCATATTAGCTGTTAGTAGAATGGCTCTACATATTCCTGCACTATTGTTCAATGTATTTTAAAAGTCGAAAGTGCACTACATACCTAATTTTTCAAAAGCAACCCATGATTTTGGAAGCTCAATAGGAGAGAGACATTAAAAGGCAGTTTTCCTAAAGTGCAGGAATCCATCGTCAGAAAAAAAGAGGAAAACAAAGAGTGTTTTCGCTTAGTAGCTGGGTTTAGATACTACCCACCTCCCACCCAGAAAGAGGCCGATACCAGGCAATCGAGCATACTTCAGAAGATTTATATTCTGTAAATTACATAGTTACATAGTGCTCTTGAGAAGCTACATAGCTCTTTCAATATGCTTTTAGCAACTACTGATTTTCATCAGATATATTTTTAAGTATAATGCTTATTTTCTTTCTCTTTTTTCCCCGTTTCAAAATGTTATTTCTGTTCCATAAAGGCCTTAATTATGCTTCATCTCCCAATAGGGATGATTCATTTTCTTGACACACTCTTTAAAAACTACATTTTCAGTTTAATTTCACTGATTGATTTCTTTTTCCACAAACTGCTTTGAAAACACATGCACACCCACTGCTGTGAAAGAGAAGAGTTTGCTAGTTGAGTGTTGTTCCTGCGGTATACCTTGGGGAAATATATAAGTATATCTAATTTCAAGCATATATAGTATGAGAGCTTCTGGTTCTGTGAAGTCCTCCTTGCATCTGCTCAGCCTTAACAAAATGGCTTGTACCTTAAATTTTGCTTCACATTCCGAGTATTACAACTCACTGTAACCAAAGCTCCTGACTTGATGACTGGCAAGATAGTTGTTCTGGCCTCTGAACAAAGTATAATATTTTTTACAAGAAATGTAAAAAGAAATACTAACATTTTTGACTGGATCCATAAGAAGCCAACTGACCGACAGACATGCTTCACTGCAGTCAACAGTAGTTTTATGGACATTCTGTAAATGTCAAGACTACGCCTTTTTTTAATAATAAAAAAGACACTATAATACTGTTTCCTTGTAACCAGGACAGAAAATCATTTGGTAGAAGTAAAAACATTTATTGGTTTTGACATTAAAAAAATCCACATTGTGAAGTAGAGATGCTGTACTCCAAATACCGGAAGAAATGTGAAGTCTCAAGGGCTATGTTCAGTAACTCTTGGTTCAAAAGCAGATGCAGCAGGTGCATTATTTAAGAGCTTGTCAAAGATGATCTTCTACAGCACATTTGTTCAAGCTTCATCTCTCCCAGTTAATGTGAAGGAGAGCACTGTGGAAAATGTGGGACTTATTGAATCCCCACTCTGTCCCCACTGCTACATTTCATGATGGCTTGGCTGGTGTCCCAAACCATATTATATAACTAGCAATAAATTATCAGTCCCCTGGACTCCAAGTGTACAAAACTTTCTACACCTATGAAGCCACAATGTCCAAAGTGATGTCTCTCATCATATTTTTCATACAATGGTTAATATACCAGAATGGTCAACATTCAAGCCATGTCAACCGAATCAGTTTCTTTCAGTTACTTGTGTTAACAGAGTTCTATTTTTGGCTTGCATTGTATTTCAAAGCCCACAAAATTCAGTCAGCTCTCCACATTTGCAAATATGACATTTGTGAATTTGAATATTTGTAGATTTTATTTTAAAGGTTGCAGATTTTATTTAAAAAAATAGGTTGTCAGGTGTAACTCTATGGTCAACTTCCAAGACCTAAAGATTCCTAGAGATAACATTTTAGTCAAATTGGGGATATTTTGATTATGCTTTTCCTGCATGGTAAGGGCTTGGACTGGATGGCCCACGTGGTCTCTTCCAACTCTATGGTTCTATGAAATCCACAAAAGCAGACCAGAGGATGTTGACCACAGAGACACACTGGAAGACCTAGAGATTGTTAGAGATATGTTTTCACAGATGCAGTTTTACAACTCAATTTCCCACTTTTTAAGTGTTTCATGTACTGCAGAAGAGGATATATTTGTGTAAATAAACAATCACCATATCTGACATTCAAATAGAAAGACAAAAAGAAAGGAATATTCTTAAAGGAAGTGTATCCACAAAAGCAGTGGCAAGATGTTGTAAGGCAAAGCAATTTGAAGGACGGCTTTATGTTCAAGGCTTTAGTTAGTGTAATTCTGGAGTGTATTCTAGGCTGGCTTTTCACTATTTTAAAGCTTGGGTTCAGGTGGCAAACTGCACAAATGTCACAAAGATCATGTGCAACTGAATGTTTCACTTTAACAGGTCTGAGCAGTTGCATATACTACCTTTCAACAATCCCTTTTCTCCATGTGTGTTTCAGTCTAACTAGGGGTGGATATTATGTGGCCTCTAAACTTACCTACTACCACTTCTTCTTCTTTAAAAATAAGAGAAGTATGTTCCGTAAAGTATTCAAGAAGTATGAATCACCTTCAAAACAGAAAACGGTGCCAAGATGATCACAAGTCTAGAAAACAACCCTTATGGAGAATGACTGAGCAACGAGGGTATGTTTAACTTGCAGAAGACTGAGAGACGACATATAGCTATCTTTAAATGTCCAAAGGGATGTCAGGTAGAAGATGGAGAAATCTTGTTTTCTGCTGCTCCAGAGAATAAAACACAAACTAATCGATTCAAATAACAAGAAAAAAGATTCCACCTAAACATTAGGATAAATTCATTTCCTATAAAGACTGTATGTCAGTGGAAAGAAAGGGCAGTTTCTGCACATGAGCTCATAAGTCTTGAGGTACAATATGATATCCTATTCACCCAAATACTCAAGCATATCACTAGAATGTGGTCTGCTTCATAAGTTTAAAACTACAAAATTAAGGTATGGAAAGTCAGTATGTATCCACATAATTAACTTTATACTGGTCCCACTGCGATGTTTTCTTAGAAAACTATAGCAAACTTCCAGAAGTACAATTTGGTAAGTCTTCAGAGTTTTTGCTTCAATACTCCTACTTCCTTTTAGCAAAACTATCATTTTCAGTGTTTTTAAAGAGAAGAGGAAAGTATTTCCAGAAAATGTGTTCATGGGTTGGCCATGCAGCAAATACTGTACAACAAAATATAAATCCACAAAACAATGTTATGTTTTTAATTGGCTAAGTTAAAAAAAGGGAAGAAAGAAAAACTTTGCAAGCTTTCAAAGCTCCGCTGGTGGCTTCATCAGATAAAGATGTTAAAAATCATACAGAAGGGAAAAAGTGATGATGTTAATAGTTAGTTACACTGTATCTTAGATGTAACTTCTGAGCCAGTTAAGATTTTCTGGATATCTCTCCAGAGAATTCTGATAAAGCATTCCAGGTCCTTCACCAAATTTTAGACCTCAGGATTTAACTTCTGTGAAATGCATATACTACAGATTTGAGGTATACCCAACTGAAAAAGGATATGTATTATGAACCTTGAGTGCTGAAACTGAAATTTTGCCTAGTGGTAGTAGCTGTGAAGGTGGCAAAAATTTCATTCAATCCCAGCAATGTTTCCATTAATGTATTAGATGAGAAAACCGACATGTAGATGGGATAGGAAGTGCCTTTGAACATAAACAATATATGTTGTGTCTTTTCAAAAAAGCTTTTACTTCCATCAGCTGGTCTCATTTTGCAATACACAAGAGCAAAGACAAAATAATGATAATAAAAACATTGCTTACAAGTTACTTATGTTTAATGCTTAAAAGTTTGAATGCACAAACAATAATCTACCATTATAGAAGTACTTGTGGTCAATACAATGCATTAGAACTATGTACAATGACACAGTTTAGTATCAAAATCTTTCTACACTGTAGAGTATTACGAAACTGTTAATGACATCAAACACTGAGCACTTAACACAATTCTTTTTTTCTTTTTCGTTTTTTTGCTACCACATTTGGAACTTCAATGAACAGTCCATTTCAACTTGCAGCATTAACCCATTTCTAGTAAGAAATTAAGTAATTTTCTACTTACACAATAAAGGTTTATCTACACAGTTCTTTTGATTTGATCCATAGCAGCAAAGGCACTGTACATCAGCAGATCCACAGACTTAAAGATTTTTTTAAAGCATTCAAAAAAAATATGTCACAGGTCATAGTTTAACAGCAACAACAACAACATAAAAAGATAACACAATGTTTCTGGCACAATGGCTCAGCCTCCGTCCATTTCAGGGACGTTAAACTAAGACTTGGATAGAACTGGCAGTAAATAAAGCAAGTCCTTCTCCCAAGTGAAAATCCATTCTGTTCCGCACTTCAGAATGAGTGCTCTTCTAAATCCTACCTCTGAGGTCCTCGCTTTTATGTAGTTTGCACACTTGTAGGAATCCATTCCCTTCTTAGTGCCATTTCCAATGAATGTATCAAATATTTTCCTGTAATCTTTGTAACTGCAAAATTGCCCAAAGACGCACATCTCCCTTTTCAAAGAAATGTGGCAAAAATGTCCAGGAGGGATGAAGGTGATTCTTTGAGACATTTTATTGTACTTCTCTGTGAAAGACACAAAACAGCAGTGATATTAAAAAAAAACCTCAGCAAAGCACTGCGCTTAAAACGTCTCAGAAAATGTAATCCTGTACATAGCAATGTTTACAGAACCCTGTAAAATTGCAGATTAATATAGTCAGAGGAATCTTTTCTCATATATTTGACAATTTCAGATGTCAACCAAACTTGTCAGCAACAAATACAAAATGGCTGACTTTTTCTTAGCAGCATTTATAAAGAATTGAGTATTGCATCCTAACAATAAGTATTCATTATTTGCAAAATAAAAACATTTAACAAAGCATACATTTGAAATCAAATACTGTTGATAATAATACACAGAATATGTAGGATATTAATGAAAATCTAGGGGACTGACTATCTAGGTTAAAATAGCTGTCATTTGTATAGGCTTTGGGCATAACATTAATCTGCATTTTAGTGCTATGGAAATGAGCTGTGGATTTGGCTCTTCCCTTTGGGTTCAGCCACAAGAAGACTAGACAGGATCTTGGTTTGTTTTCACTGGAACCTAGAACTATGATCAGAATTAAATGTTGGGTTAAGATAGTCTTATCTGATCTGAGTACCTTCAGATATTTTGGTCTGTGACTTCAATAATATCTGCCCACTGACCCTGCTAACTAAACCTGATGGGAGTTACAGTCCAACGCACAGAATAGAACAGAAGTTGAAAAATACTAAATCTTGTTATGTGTTGCATGTATTCAAGGCTATAGACTAGGAAGTAAAAGTTAGGCCTATTGTTGATCAGCTTTAAACAGAGAGGTCTTTCAAACATTGTGACTATCCATAGCTGTCTTGCAAGCCCAAAGCAAGCAGCCTGAAAAGTGATGTACGTCATGTCCTACTCGTTTTTACGTGACTTCAAATTGTTTCCAATAAACGGGAACCCTAAGGTGAACCATCTTGGCAAGGTGTGTTCAGAAATGATTTGTTTGCCATTGATGCCTTCCTCTGAGGCCAAGAGTGTGTGACATGCCCAAGGGTTTTCTATTGCCAAGCCTTTTCAGTTCTCACCCAACACTCAAACCATGACACAATGCTGGCTCCTGTTCTGCTCATGTACCATGGTTATCCTTAAATCCAAAGGTGTTCATTTGAACAAACCCTTAGAATAGCTTTGTTGAATTTCTTAAGCCATTTGAAGCCAGAATTTGTACAGGAGTATATAGTTAATAATAAAATGCAATTCTCCTTTTCATCCAAAACTCCCAACCCAGCATCAAAAATACAACAAAAGATGAAGAATTCAACCTACCTTCCAATTCAAGGCAGAAGCAAACTACTTTATTTAGTCAGTTCCTTGTTAAAAAGATTTCTTTAAACAAAATAAATACATTACACTATGATACATAATTAAAAGAGTCAGTTCCCTGTTAAGTATGCTTATTCCATCTTAATTCCAAGTAGATAGCTGGAGATTTGGTTTGACAAGTTCTTAAAAGAAAGCTTGCTATTAAATAGCAAATTTAGCGGGGCAAATCCATAATTGCGATGAACATTTTCAGTCCTCAGTTTGGGAAGGAAAAAAAGTAATATACAGCAAAGTGCTACAAGGAGGAGTACAATTTTCATTCAGATTTGTCTCTAATAAATAACTTCATAGACTGTAGCCTTCTTGTCCCCAGAGCCAGTGACAATGTATTTGTCATCCACAGAGATGTCACAGCTTAGCACAGAGGATGACTCTTTGGACTAAAAGAAACAAAAAGAAAGAGAGAAGGTTAGCACAGACCAAAACCTTTTTCAGCAATACCGAATTACAAGATGTTTTAGCCATACATTTCTGCTTATTATTTAATCTGAACCAACCTTGCAGACTTGAGATCCTGACCATATAGCTAATACAGATCCTTTACTAAATTGAGATCAGTTAAGCAAACCCCTTGTCAGAGAGACCTTTTTCTTCCCTTTTGTTTTTGATTAATTCCTTTGTTTATTTGCACTCTAGCCTTCAGCTAAAAACATTTGTATGATAGTTCCTGTCCTAAATGCTTTAGCTGTTCAAACAAAACAGGAGAAGTTGAGATGTTGACAAGCTGGAATGTGTCCAGAGGAGGGTGACTAAAATGATCAAGGGTCTGGAGAACAAGCCCTATGAGGAGTGGCTTAAGGAGCTGGGGATGCTTAGCCTGAAGAAGAGAAGGCTGAAAGGAGATATGATAGCCATGTATAAATATGTGAGAGGAAGTCACAGGGAGGAGGGAACAAGCTTGTTTTCTGCTTCCCTGGAGACTAGGACGCGGAACAATGGCTTCAAACTACAAGAAAGGAGATTCCATCTGAACATGAGTGTGGTGGAGGCTCCTTCTTTGGAGGTTTTTAAACAGAGGCTAGAATGCAATATTCCTGCTTCTTGGCAGGGGGTTGGAGTGGATGGCCCATGAGGTCTCTTCCAACTCTATGATTCTATGATTCTAAATTATCTACAAAGTTCTCATCACATGATAACTAACTTGAAAAGTAGTCTTCACATAGACAATTGTATTCACTGAAATCCAAAATCTACTCTCAAAGGTCAAACATCAGACAAAATTAGTGACAACATTCAGAATTTGCTGTCTCTAGTTTGCTGCCTGTTTTTGGTAGGCTATGGGAAGGATTTGTGTCATGTGAAAAATGCACAGCATATTGTGAGAGAAGCTCCTGATTGAATGTTGAAGAGAATGGCCAAACTCTGCAGCAGCCAAATAACAACTATGAAGGAGGACCTCTCACAGGAGAAAGCAGGAAAATATCTTTAACCAAAGAGAGGTTGCTGAATGTTTAAACAAGCTTTGGAAGACACAGAACTCCCCAAAGAAAATTAAAAAAGACAACATTCAAATAATTCTTATAGAGTGGTACTAGCTTACAAGTAGCCCATTCATTCTTTCAGCTTCTTTTGAGTACTTCAGAATTTGATGGGTTACCAACATTAGTCTTTTCCACGGCTGCCTCCCCCTGTTTTTCTTGTCATTGTAGATGCAATACAAATAACAACAAAAATAATAAGCCAAAGAGGGAGGAGAATAAAGATGTAATAGTAGAACTAGTTATCATAGTAGCAGAAGTATTATAATCTCTAAACAGAGTTTCTCTATTCTGAGTTTAAATTTACTTGAACTATATGAACAATGTAAGAGGAGAGCCTGGCAACATTGTTATACTTGATTAATTAATTAATTAATTAAAAAACCCTTTATTTATACCCCGCTCCATCTCCCCCAGGGGGACTCGGTGCGGCTTACATGAGGCCATACACATCAATATAGTGCATACATTATAAAACAAAAACATAACAATACCTGAAAATAAAATACATAAAATGCAAAAATCAATACAATGAGCGAAACAACAACAGTATAAAAACAAACAATTAAAAACAAAAAATTTTACTGGGCAGGGCCTCATTCAAGGATAAGATTTTTAAACACTGGGAGGTAGGACAATGTAAAATTATCTCGATGAGGATCTGAGTAAGGGAGGATTTAATTGCATGAACCATAGATAAAGTGTTTCTAAGGACATTTTGTGCAAAGTTTGGTCAGAGAAATTAATAAAATTAATGATTTTATTGTAATGGAATTCTTTATTAATATTCTTCTCAAAGGAAGCAATGAATAATTGTAGCAATTTTCTTCCCTCTGTAAGGACATTTTTGAAACCTGTGCTGATTTTGAAGACTTTTCACAATTTAAGACTTATTCTGTATTAAATTCTGCATTTTTTCTGTGAAGAAAATTATATTTTCTATGCAGAAATATTTGAAATGAATTGAAATATTAATGATAAAAAGTAGACTTGTGCGCAGATTCGTTTTGGCTGTTTGCCTTTGGCTTCTTCAGCCTGGCCAGACTGCTGTAATGGCAAGGGAACAGACTGCATGTTTTTTCACCTGAAATGGCTGCCGAGTGCGGCTACTTTCCTTATATTTGGGAGCATGTGGTGGATGGAGAGGCTGCTGCATACTCGCATGGGGTTTCCCTGTGAGCTCTGCCTGTTGGGTCAATCGAAGTAGAAGAATGCCATGAAGTGCCTTATGCAAGCTGTGTCTATTTCATGGGAAGAGTGCCTCCATTGCTCACTTGCATTCTGGCTCTGAGAGGTGCTGCTTCAGTCCAATTGTCTTGCTTATTTTGTCTTGCCTTGCTGCTCGCTTGCAGTTATGATTTAGCTTTTTGCTTGGCTTGGTTTCTAGCATTGAATCTTTTTAATTTTTCTTTATTTTCTTGATTCTTTTTATTTAGTGAGACTGGGAGTTGGAAAATGCAGGTGGGTGAGTGAGCACATAAGGGGACTTTGGAGAAAAAAAAGAGCATCTCTTGGGTGGGTTGGTATGCTTTCCTTTAAAAATATTAGGGTTGCTCTGAGCCTTGAGTCATCCTTTAGCTTCTTCTCTCCTCTCCTTATATTTTTTCTCCTCCCTCCCCTCCTACAGAAAATACTTTTGAAAGGTAATAATAACTAATAATAAGAATAATAATTCCAGCAAACAGAAAAGCCTCATTGCCAGAAAACTCCTACCTAAACTTACCACCAATCCCTATAATTTAATTCCTTTGCAAACAAGTTCTCTCTGTTATTTATATGTACTTTCTGCCTTCTTAATTTCATTTAATAATAATAATCTGGATGTTGCCGCCTAGTAGTAGTAGTAGTAATAATGATGATGCTGTTGGGCTTTTGTGGAAGCTTTTCCAAGCCAACAGAACCCATTCTCTCTCCCTAACTTCAACCTCCATCAGGACATAAAAAATATTGTTGTTAATACTTTTCAAAACAATTGTACTAGCAAGAAAACCCAACCCCCTCCCCCCCAAAAAAAACCCACCACCAGCCCGTAGAGCCTTCCTCTACAAATCCTCTTTTTTGCAATCTCTGCCTTCTTAATTTTAATTAATCATCATCATCATTTGGCTGTTGTGGAAGTGAATCTTTGACATTTGGCAGGAAGGAATGGTGCCCAGCTACTGCTCCTGAAGAAGTTAAAGGGTGGGGCCAGTGGGGATATGTTTTTGGGAATTTTTTTAAAGGGGATAGTGTTTCCAGAAAGAAAAAAAATCCTAATAATCACGGGATGACCCAAACGTTATGAAACTTGGTGGGCTAGCAGTGATAGATGTGTCTTTCAAGTGTTGCCATTTTCATCCTAATAGCCCTGAAAATAATGGGAAGGGAGACTGTGAAGCCCTCTCCCGATTGCCACCAATGGGCCAGATCCAGCCACATTTTTAGGCTGTGGAACAAAACCAGCTGTTCAGCCATCCCCCACCCCCCATTTTCGGGAGGCACAAAAACAGAACTGCATCCTCACCCCAAAATTCAGGTAGCATAAGCGGAATGAGGTTCAGCCAAAATGCACAAGCCTAATCAACATATGATGCCAAACATTTTGGTTTATGTACAAAACAACTGCATGTGAATTGTGCACAGAGCAAGCCCAATGTTCTGCATAGTAAACAGTATTGTCTTTGCAGAAAATAAGATTTCTGTGGAGAAACATTACTTTTGGTGCAGAAAAAATATCTCCTACATAGAAAATGCTGTGTTTTTCCTGCAAAAGATTTTTGTACAAAGTATGTCCTGAACCGCAATGATTTTCCTCAGTACAAGATTCTTCTTGTAAGGATGTCTTGACACATGAAAAACACCTTTCAATTATTTTTGAATATTTCTTAACATTGTGCTAGGATTTAAATTTTATTTTAAAGTTGCAGACTTCAGAAGCCCATGAAGATATTAAAATGTTTGATTATAGATGTTCAGGGGATATATACTATAATAGAGTAGATTAAGCCAAATATCACTACCACCTGTCTTTATGGCATTAAATGGATACAATTTAAGCAAACTGCAGGTCATCCCAAACTCCCCACAAACCTTCCATCAAATCAGGTTATTGATCTGCTCCCTCCTTTTCCCACAACTCTGACAAGCACACTTTTAAAAACCTCAGTTTAATTCCATGTTGACTAAAGACAAAGCTATGAAATATACATGCTTCAAAATTGTGGGAAAATGTCAGATAATTGAGTGTAGTCTCCAATAACAAAATTGCTTTCCCCACTGTCTCTTGGAATCAGCTTTTAGAGAAAATTGATTTTAGCTAAGCCTACAAAATATGTCTTACAGGGTCATGCATGTGTGGCACTAAAAAGACTTAACAAGCTTTAAAAAAATGTGAGGCCCTCCTGGAAAAAAAGAACACCTGGATGACATGATGACAAAGGATGTGTGGAAGATAAAAATTATAGTGTGAACTTAGAAAGCAGGGTATATTGGGTTCAATTCCAACTTTCCTTCCCGCAGAAGGCTGAAAGTGATTGGCCTAAGAAATGTGTTTCTAGCTTAATAGTTACATGCTATAGAAACCATGGACTGACTATAGCTCCCACCTCCTTCTACAAGCCATCAGTTATAATTGTGCTATTGTGTAGTGTGGATTACCCCTACAAATGGTCAGTGTAACTTCTGCTCTGTACAGACACCTAACCTGGTAGCACTTAGAAAAGTTACCTTTTTGGAATTCAACTCTTAGAGTTGTATACTACATCGCTACCAGCTTTATACGGGGTTTAGGGCAGGAGTAAGCCTTATGATTGCCATTAAAGGACTAATTGAAATTGTAAATGTGCCTATGTTGATCTGGCAGTGATAGCCTCACAGGACTGATCTGGCATTTTTTCACTGTAACTGCTTTTTGCTTATATTAAACTATGACCATGATTTTAGGTATGAGTTGGGGAAGAGGGGTTAGATTAACACACACCCCTCTGCACACACAATTCCATGCATTTACCTGAAATATACTGGCTCCATATGGTGTTCTCCATGCATTCAGAAGATTATCTTTTCCAGTGCTTACAAACCATTTGCCTGAAAACAGAGTTATTATAAATATTTTAGCCAGAAGCAGCTAAAAATAGCTTTATTTTTCACAACAGTAAAACATATATCCTTCTTCTTCTCTGTCCCCAAAACATCTTTCCGAAACGTATCTGCATCAGGATACGTCATCAAAATATGACTTACAAAAATTCAGCTATATGTGTAAAAATAAACGTCTCCGTCTTCTTCCCTTTGCATATTTATTGAAAATACATTTGTACACTGAAGACAATGCACACACTGAAATACTCACCACAGTGAGCAAATTTCAGGGATAACACACAACTCTCATGGAGATGCAGTTGGTATTTGTCTGGTTTTGTGACATGCAAGACTTCGACGTTGCTGTTCTCCATGCCTACTGCCAACCATTCTCCAGTAGGGCAATATCCCAATGAAAAGATCTGGAAATTAACACCAGATGTTAGTTAATGTAAGACATGACTTTTGAAGAAAAAAAAAAGAGCAGCTTTTGTTGTGGCATCTTTACCAATGTTTGTAAGATATGAAAAAGACTTTGGTATGTTGCAGAATTTTTAAAGTCATTTCTCAGGCAGAGCAGGTCAAATAAATATAGTATAATAATAAATGTAGTATAATAATAATATAAATCATTATCTCTAATTTAATATATCCCACCTTTTCATCAAAAATCAGATTAAAGGTGGCTTTGAGTATCTTTTCTTGGAGGAGCTGAAATATTTAGATAAACTATATCGTGGCATAGGCGTCAGAAAAAAGGACAACTGATTGTTTGTAGAAGTCCTTCAGTTCAGCAGTTGTACTGTGTTAATTAAGACTCTTCTGCTTCATAGGTGAAGGGTAAGACTTAGGTCAATCCAATGTGTATGTTCCTGGGAAAATCCTCCCCAACTGAGCCATCCAATTAAAGGATGCAGAAGGCAAGGTAAACAACCATTTGAGGGTTGCTCTTCAAAAAAGCTTTTAAAATCCTTGGGTTTTTTATTTCAATAAAATCAGATCAAGTTTCTTTAACTTGTCAAGGACTCTGTAGCAAATATACCTGTGATGTGAAGTCATGCTGTTGTAGTTGCCTCCCTTCCCTCAAGTCCCAAGATCTCACTGTATTGTCTAACCCTCCTGTCCAGAGCTTGGTACCATCATTCGAAATGTCAATGCAGCTGGCTCCATCTGTGTGGCCCTGGAATTGCCTGGAAATGTCAAGTTGGCATTAAAAGAAAACCTAAGGCACAAATCACTTTTGAAAGAAAACTGTTGTAAGAAAGGAATTTTAAAAGGCTTCAGTTCTATTTTTTAAGAAGTGCAGAATGTGCTATTGAGTCAAAACATAAAGAAAAAGCAAAGGGGTTCATTTAAAAGGATCATTTTAATGTTCAAACCCCTATACCAATGTCTAAATTACAATACACTCTTATTCACACATATATGAACAAAAAGACACAAGATTATCACAGGAAGATGCACTAACATGATAAAGTTTCAGAAAGAACTCCTTTATTCCATCAAATTAACTGGCTGACATCTGAAATGATCTTACTTTAAATAAAAAAAATCTAAAACTTATATTTTAAGAAAAGTTCTGTGCAATTACAAAACTAACACTTTCAGCTGTTTGAATAATGTGGGTTCAATGAAATAAAGCATGGTATTTTATTCTGATTTTCCCTCCAATGTTACCATCACAGATTGTTACCAATACATTTGCAAGAATGAACAATTGATATTTTAGCTCAATATAAATGTCCTAACATCATGATTTACTTGCTCTCTTAAGGCATTTTGGACATTGTCCACATCCAGTATTCCTCAACCTCGTGTCTTCCAGATACTCTCAAGTACAAATCCCATCATCTTAGTCAGTGCAATTGAGTGCTATGCCACTCGGGAATTTTAATTGTAACAAGCTAACATATTCAGGGCCCCTGGTGTTGCAGCAGGTTAAACCGCTGAACTGCTGAACTTGCTGACCTAAAGGTCAGCAGTTTGAATTTGGGGAGCGGGATGAGCTACCTCTGTTAGACCCAGCTGTTGCCAACCTAGCAGTTTGAAAACATGCAAATATGAGTAGATAAATAGGTACAGCTTTGGTTGGAAGGTAACGGTGCTCCATGCAGTCATCTAGCCACATGACCTTGGAGGTATCTATGGACAACTCTGGGTCTTCAGCTTAGAAATGTTGATGGCGACCATCCCCCAGAGTCGGACACAACTAGACTTAATGTCAAGGGGAAACCTTTACCTTTACTTTAACATATTCGGAGGGTCTTTTAAGAAAACACCAAGCTTCTTAGAGTGGCTTTCATGCACAACATCCTGAGTGGAGTCATTAGGGGATGGCATCCCACATATTCATGTACAGTTATTCTTCAGTTTCTGTTCACCCTGTTAATTTGTCTTATTTTTTCCCCTTAGAACAGATAGATTCAACCAATATCTCTCCAGGAATTCCCAGCTTGGGCTGTTCAAAGCTAAATCTGTATTGAATTAGGTTTATTGCCTGCTCTGCCCTCAGATTTCAGGCACAAATTAAATTTAGACATTAAAAACATGGCTTCTACTCCCAGAACATCAAAGGACTCATAATGAGACAAGAAGAAACAACAAAAAGCAAGATAGTAATAATAATGTCAACAACCACAACAGTAAACAGCATGCAAACACAAAATGGCTGGCTCTTTTTGGCAGAACTCTATGGCAGTTATCCAAAATCTAGCAGGCATGCAATTTATATTATCTCCTGCCAATTTGTTCTATGTACACTCATTTACACATTTACTTCCCTATATATTCTACAGAAAACTTATGTACTAACTATGTACTAACTGGACCCTTAAGACATACTGCAAATTGATATCTGATGGCACTTATGTCCTGCTGTGGCTATCATTCTGATAGGACACCCTCTATGGACTTCTTGCTATTCTTATACACCAAACAATCCAGTTGAGATACACAGATTTTAGTTTCCCCATACACCATAAATCTGTTCCTCCTTCACCATGCTATAAATCCAGATATACTCTTGGGATCAGCTAGGGACTGAGTGAGTTTGCACTGCTTCCTGTTTGACAGGTAGCAACTATTTAGGAAATTCTTTTTGATAGATAGGAAAGGCTCAAGGCATGTAACAGAACCTTGGACTCTTCCCTGTCAAAAGAATGTGGCATATTTTCCAAGAGGAATGTGCCAATAACTAAAGGAATGTGAATTAAAAAACAAATTCCAAGCTTTCTAGGCTGACAACTATTGTATGCAAATCCCCCATGACAAACGCTTGGACAAATGCCAGGTACTGCTATAGCAAAAGTCTCACTAATAAACATTCCAGCTTGGTTGACCTACCTGACCAGTGTTTGATTGTGCAGGTCCCACACTGCTATGTTCCCATCACTGCAGCAGGAGAAGCAGACCTTGGAATCCGGGCTGATCGCTAGGGCATAGCAGGCAGGGGCGGATGATGTCAGCTCGGCTTTGATACGTGGAGTCGGTGCTGCCAGGTCCCAAATAGATAGTGTGCTGGCTTCCCCACCAACAATCAGGGTGCGGCCGTCTGGGAGCAATCTGCAGGAACGGATGTAGTTATCTCTGTTCTGTGGAGACAGAAGCCATCAAGAGATTACTCATGAGGAAAGGAAAACAGCATTAACGCGAGAGCAGAAATCCATAAAAGTATTGTATTCCCTCTTGGTTTTAATGAGCCATTTATACTTATGACAATGATAAAGTGGATTAATGCCAGAAAATTACACGACATTAGGGAAGTGCTTAAACTTGATCTACAAAATTCAGCAGTGAGAGATATTTAATCTTAATTAGCATCAGTACGCACAGACTCATGCCCAGTCCCAAACAGTTCAAAGCTCATGAACCACTGAGTGCTTATATGGATGGCTAAACTTTTTTTTTAGAATGCGTTTTGTTTCTATTATTTTAACCCCCCAAATTCTCAGTAGGCAATGTCAGCAAGTTTGAAAGATTGAACACTCAAAAGAATGAGGGAGATCTGGCAGGTATCCTCAGTTTTCTATGGTTTTTCTACCAACTGATAGGAGTGCTGATGCTTCTTTGTAGAAGCAATACAACAGGCAACAACATGGACATATGTCAAAAAAGAGTGGGTTATAATGAAAACTACTGGTTAGCATGGAGAAATAATGGCTATGTTCCTATATATAATACCTGCAAAGAATTTTTTTAATGTTTCACATCAGTAAAAGAATGAAATGACACATATAGGATGGTATTCCAGGTAGGAGTAAGTTGAATATAAATGAATAAGCCTATAATTTGATATTGATGCTAGCTTCTTAGTGAGCATCGCAACACTTTTCGTGGCACAAGAGGAAATCATTAAAAACTGGTGAAACTGGTCAACTAGAAGCCATCGTGGCTCTGCCCTGGAAACCACTATGTCTGGAGGCTACTAGAAATGAGAAATGAAGTACTAAAAGTAAGAACCACAACCATTCCATGAGATAATGTCATTCCACCACATTCTGACATTTCTGATAAGAATATCCTGCATGCCCATGAATGCAAATGCTGTGTGTAACTGACAAAAACATTTAGACACATAGAATTATGGAATTTGTTTCCAAAAGGTACCAAATCCATCCTCTCAATTTGCACCCTAAGGAATTCCTCCCATCCCCTAACAACACATTTGCTTCCATTACATATACAAACTATATTCAACTCATTATGGAAATGGATAGACCTCTTTAAAAGCAGATTAACGAACTCAGTTTTTGATCAAATATGGAAATAGTTTTTATTGTGACAAAACAATCACACAATTAGTATTTCTGCTATAGATGTGATATTGACTGATCGCTCTGTTAAGAGCATATTGCTACTCTTACTTACCAGACAGTCCAGTTGGGAGACCGGGCTCTTGTTCCCTGGATGACTGATGTCCCAAACCTTGACGCATCCCTTCCCACCCGTGTAGACATGCCTCGTGGGATTGCTAATAGTAACTGCACACACCACTTCTCCATGATTCAGGGTGTTAATCTGTCGAGCATGACGGGGGATTCCTGGTCCAATGAGGGCATCAGGAGGGAAAGGTACAGGCTGCATTTGACCATCAGCACTTACATGAAATGAGTATGCTCTGAGGAAAAAAAAAAGACAAAGAAAAACATGTTTTTGTGAGGCACATAATGTATCTGCCTAAGAGTAAAGGGCAAGGTAGAGCTCAAACGGCTCTCTTTTGACTTAGCAACAAGGTTCACATGAAGTGTAATTTGTGAAACACTGTTCTGGGATTAATACATCCTAGCCAGGTCTCCAATTTTCCTTGCGTTTGGTCTATTGTTGTGCAGGGACACCAAGGAGCTCTATGGTTTTTCTTTTCTGTTCTGCAACAATTCGCAAAAAAGCAGACCAATAAAGGTTGAAAAGATATGGCAACAATATGTCTCACCAGAAACAACATGCTTTATGACTACCAGTCATGCCACCTGTGAATAACCTATCAACAACTTCATCTCAAATGCTCTGCAACAGAGAGCACTCTAGTGCTCAAAACCGTTTTGTTCTAAGATGTGACATGTGGGAGAGCTTCTGTCACTGAACACAACTTTATCAAAGACACAGTTGAAGCACATTACATGGAAATATATGCCTAACGGAAGAGTAAGGTGGCAACTTGCACATCCGTATGTAATTCTCAAACAGACTATTGAAAGTAGCCCATAAATCTTTTTATTGATGCAAATTGTTGCATTGTAGTGATGGTAAACATCACTAAAACATATACTGGCATTTCAGGCAATATAAAATATTCTCTCTCTTTGGCCAATGGTTTAATATATATGAATGACTCTGGAGTAGCTAGAAAATATTAATTAGCAAATTCTTGCTGAATTGTGTCAAATTATGACAAGGAACAGCAAGATGAGATTCTAGCCACAGAGTCTGTCCTAAGGTGGATCTCTTACAGACAAGCTTATTCAACTTCTGAGGAAAGAATCTAGTAACAATGCAAATAATATTTGTATACTCAGAGTGAGGAACATTTAGTTCTCTAGATATTTTAAATTATGCTTGAATAATCCCGTTCTGATGTCTATGCTGGCTAAGGCTTCTGGGAAAACCAAAACTTTTGGAAACCCGAGTTGCTCCTTCACTGCTTTAAGGAATTGAAAGGACCTGTCTCTTATTAAATGTTTCTGCTTTAGTATCTCATGCAAATGGTTATCAAGGAGAAAACAACTAAAAATTGAGAAGTCTTTCTAAACAGTGAAGTTTAAAACACAAACACACAAAAACTTGGGGAGTGATCAAATATTTTTAACAGCTCTGCTACCTTGCTGATTTTTTCTATTTTCTTTTTTTTCTTTCACAAACAAATAGTCATGCCACAAATATACACAAATAACAATACTCCAGATCACTGTGTAATTTTTCCTTTGCTAAAGAGGACTGCGAGTGAAAACTTCATATTAGTCATATAATTCTTTCTGCCTAGCTCCCTGTGAGCCAAGCCTGTTAGAGTAGGTCACGTTTTCCGGTCAGTTCCATCAAGGATGCATTTGTATATTATGATATCATAATTTTTTTTCCGTATTTTCAATCAAACAGAACATTTCAGTGTTTCTTTCTCTGTGCAACGCTGTTTATGGAACCCAGTAAGTCTGCAATTGATTGCAGGGCGTCTTTTGTGCACAAAGGAATTGTTTTTAAAATGGGGAGGCAAGACTCTCAAGACACATACCAAAGAGCCCTTTGCAATGTGCATTTCTGTGCCAAGCTGGGTTACTTTAGTCCAGCACGTCCCACTGCAGAATTATAACCCCTTCCCCATGCCCTCTTTTATCCACAGCATCTGATACCCTTGGCACATATTCACCTATGGGAAAAAACTGCCAAATAGGCTTTTAAGATTAAAAGGGGGATTAACCACCCTCTGCCACACATGGTATTCAGTATCACAGAGAAAGCAAAAGGAACAAAAGCTTAATAATATGATTGAGTTTGGACGTTTAACACTCACGGTTTTCCTCCTGGGATGCCTGTCAGATTCGGAGGGATGCCTGGGACTCGCATATGATGATGTGGATCAAAACCAACCTGAAGTTTTCCCACAATCAGAACAAAGAAAGTTGAAAGCATTAGTGGAAAATGCTAGAATTTCTATTCTTCCATTTTAAACCAGCAGCCCCACAAACATTGTTATAGACTGCCTTCCCTAAGGTTTAAGAACATAAGACCACCCCTGCTGGTCTAGATCCAGCTGAAGGAACCACAGCATAGAATTCTGTGCGCCATAAGAAGCTCTTCTATATTATGTTCTCTCAGGAAATGATATTAAGAAATATATTCCACTTGGTGGTAGAAGGAAATGGTAGAGGCAACCCCTCAAAAAGACAGGGGAATTACAGACAAGAATCAATCAGGGCCAGCTAACACCTCCCAACAAAGGATCCCCTGGCAGCAACCAGCCAGCTTTTGAAGCTGCAAGGCCATTCAATGCTAATCAAGATGACCAACAGCAACATTCACACTTGCCTCAAACAGACAAGAATTCTTTTTCCCAACCTGGAGATTCTACAGATATATATATATATATATATATATATACACACACACACACACACACACACACACACACACACACACCTCACTTGCTTAGTTTCCAATAGACCTCACAACCTCTGAGGATGACTGTCATAGATGTGGGCAAAATGCCTCTGGAATATGGCTATACAGCCTGGAAAACTCACAGCAACCCAACCCATGCGTTCTTTATTCAAATTCTTATACCACACTTCAGTTATTCTTCCACTGCCACAGGCCCTGACCAGTTTACAAAAGATGATAGTCAGAGCTTGAAAGAGATAGTTTTTGGACTACATCTTCTAGAATCCACTGGAGGTTGGAGATTTCTGGGAGGCATAGTGCGACCCCCCACCCCAGAAAATCCACTAAAAACATACTCCAAAAAGCGAATTATTCAAGATACATCTCATGCAAAGGCACACAAAAGGAACCAGTAATGTGTGTTACTGAAAGGGTTCAGGAGTAGATCAGACTCCATAGAGCAGTGGTTCTCAACCTGGGGTCCCCAGATGTTTTTTGCCTACAACTCCCAGAAATTCCAGTCAGTTTACCAGCTGTTAGGATTTCTGGGAGTTGAAGCCCAAAAACATCTGGGGACCCCAGGTTGAGAACCACTGCCATAGGGAATTAGATATGCATCTCTCTCTACAGCAGGCAGCTTTATATTGTAATGTACTACTGTCTTGACTGAAGTCTCTCACAGTCACAGCCTCATCAACATTCGTATCGATACAAACTATAGAGCCACTGAACTTACCACTGGAGACCTCCCATAAGCTGCTGCCGCTGCTGCTGCTGCTGCAGCAGCACTCATTTGAGGAGAGATGTTATGCAGACCTGCATATGCAGCTCCTGGACTCGTCAGTTCACCATTCATTCCAGCATGGGGCACTATTCCAAATGGGGTAGGGTAAGGACATGGTACTGCCATCGGTGTTCTTAAGCCTGAAACTACAGAAAGGGACAGAGGGAAAAATTAGAATGCTCAGAGGGTATACCAAACAAAGAACATTGGGGAAAAGAAGGAGTAGGATGCAAAAGCTGCATGAACAAAAATGCTTTGTTTTTATAGCTCCTTTGAAAAGTTCTTCAATAGATCTCATTTTGTTCATTCTAATTATTGGAAGATACCTAAGGATCAATTAAAAATGGCAGAAATAGGATATGGAGTCCTTTTTATGTGATGGTACCACCTCAGCTCGGAGGAGTGAAATTCTGTATGCTGCCCCTATCCTTACAAAAAAAATAAAAATAAAAAGCAAAATAGGTAATACCACTGGAAATCTGTATACAAGATCTCTCTTCTACAAAATGGAGCCAACAATCTAAGAAGATATGCTATTTCTGTATATTTGCACAATTTTGACTGTGGTGATGTGCAGATGTACACATCTTTCTGTTTTTCATCTACAACAAATCTTAACAATGAGAGTACATAACAGTATGTCAACCTTAAGAAGCAGGGCTTCTTCCCAAATGGTCCAATGTATACTAACCTAATGGATCAACTCCCGGTGGTTTGCCAGGAACAGGCCTCAATCCGGGGGTAGAATTACTGCCTGGAGTTGGAGCATCAGTTCGTGGAGTGGGTGTACTTGATTTAGACACAGGTGTGGTGGATTTCTCATTCTAACAGAGAAAGAAAATGAATATTTTAATTTCCAGAAGATGACTTGTATACTTTAGGCATATCTGTGAGCTTGAGGAACCTGGACAGAAACTGGGAACACTGGTATTAAAGGAGATTTCTACTGATACAAGAGGCTGCCAAAATGACAACAAGTGGGTCTTAGAGCAAATCAAGCTAGAACATTCCTAGAAGCCAGTATCACCAAGCTGAGGATATCAAACTTTGGACATATCATGTGACATGATGAATTAGAAAATATGATAATGCTTGGTAAAGTAAGAAGCAGTAGGAAAAGACGAATCTTACAGTTGGTTAGACTCAATCAAGAAAGCCATGGTCATAAATCTGAACTACTGGTGATAGGGTTGCTTGCAGATCTCTCATTTAAAGAGTTACCATAGACTGAAGCTAACCTGACAGCATTAAAAGTAATAAATTTACTTTAACTGGCAACTAAAAGCACAATTTCCCCCCTACAACATGTGTCCATCCCACAATGAATGAAACTTGGGATAGACATATTTCAAGAAGTCTAGTTCTAATGCTGTCTATTGTATTTTCTAGTAGACCATATTACGAGAAATGCACAAATGGTCCTTCCTTAGTGAAATTAGCATTAAAAGCTTTGGACCATTAAGGTGTTTCCAGGAAAGGTAAAATCCAGACATGATATGGTGGTATTTTAGCCAGTAACACTTTTATAGTCATTTATTTTCTTACAGTACAAATAGCTTTATAACAACGAACTCAGTCATTCTCACAGAGACAGAAATAGGAAGCTGAAGAACTTTGACCTACTAAAAAGGTCCCCAGTAATGGGATCAGAAAGGATTTCAAGTCAGCTATCACATTTCCAGTCCACATACTTACATTCAAACAACTGCCTCTCTTTCTCCACACCCCAAAATGTTCAAAGTGGTATAAGACCTACTGAAGGGATTTGGCAGACAATGGACTCCACAGCCTTTGTTCATTTAAAAATCTGGGGGGAGGGGCACTAAATTATTTAATGACAAGAGAACTATGCAATAGATCTCTTAAAATAATCAACTTCCATTAGATTTTTAAAGTGCTCTGGCAAGTCAAGTTGAGAAATTCTGGTGAAACTACTGGTTGACTGAATCTAACCTAGCACAGGACATTGCTGCTGTTCATTGATTAAGCTCAGAACTTAATGAACTGACATCAGTGTGACATCTAGCAATGTTTCAGTTGGGGGCAAACAGACTGAGGACACTTGCAGACAGTAGCAAATTGAGGGTTTTAATCAGGGGCACAAAATCCCAGGACTTCAGAAGAGGTCCACATACAGACCTGTTGGTCCCAGGATTTCTACCTCTGTCGTCCACACTTGCTGCTTTGTTGCAAGATTTAGAGGCTCCCAAGATGGCTGCCGTGGGACTTTCGACAGAAATTTTGGCTTTTTTTTAAAGATGCAAACATGTAAAGATGCGAATCATTGTATAAATTCTATTCCTGGGATATATAAGCTGCAGGGCCATCTGGGTGTTGTTCCTGGTTTTTACATACCTGTTCCTGATTGCTCTTATTGTGAAAAGACGTACAACGTTGACTAGGGGACCACAACTTTGTCCTGACCAGAGAAAATGTGCCCACTGCACGTTTAATGAAATTTCTGGCACACAGACAACATTCTATTCAACTGTCACCTTCTTTTGCGGAACCAACCAATCAGGAACAAGCATCTAAAATTGGGAACAAACCTAGAAAAAAAATCCTGTGATTTCTGAGTGCAGGGACATACAGACATTGAAGATGCAGATTTTTGACTCAGAACCAGGATATTCCCACATCTGAAAATCTTGTGTTTCTTGCTGTTTGTAGCAATTGCTTCTGTGTTTACAGGGAACAGCGCCTGGCCACCCTCCTGTTTGCTGCAGAAGCTCCTGGGAGGAAGGTACTGTCTGGATGGGCCCTTAGTGTTTATATATCACACTTTTATGACATGCAACACAAACACAATAATGTCTATAAGCATTTCGTAAAAGGGAATAATTGTTTTTATAAACATACTGCAGACTATGGAGTCAAGTATAAACCATGATAACTTTTTTAAAGCACTTCAGTTTGTTCACTGTGGTGTAACACAGAACAGAGATACAAATGTTCAATGCCCCTGTTTCAGGCCCCTAGTCCTATGTCAGCTCCTTGTTCAGTGAACAGGTCCCAAGATCAAATCAGAGAGTCTTGGATAAGCAAGATTCAGGCAACAGACATTGTATAAAACAGATGTTTGTTCATTCCATAACTTTAAAAAATAACAGTCCATAAGAAAAAAATTAAAAACCTATACTAAGTAATACATTTATCCAATGAATGAAAAGGCACGTTCCAGTTTTCTTCATCACAAAAGATTTTCTAAAATGAATAGGATGTGTGTGTCCTTTTCCCCAAGAAGCATTTCCTACAACTTTATCAGGGAAACAGTGATGCAATGTCCCCATGGTGCGTGGATAAATTACAATCCCCCTTTCCACAAGCTACCAGTAAATTGTTCAGTTGAGTCTCTCTGTGCTGTAACAATGGTGTGAGAAGTTCAAGTGGCTATTTCTGCAAAAGACAGAATGAGCAATGCATGACAGTTTCAGTCTTGGAAGATAATTAACTACAGTTCCAATCCCTCCCTTTCTCCCGCACACACAAATATCAAAGGGAGCCAGCACTACTCTACTCTAGGCTTGCAAGCAGCCCTTCTTTGAATTGTGACTTGTTATGCAAGTCAAGAAAGGCATTTGTAAATGACAGATTACTTTTTAGATAGAAAATGATTGTAGCGGAACACAGACCAGAAATACATACAAAGCCAAGAACCAAATCACATCCAAGCAGGAAGCTGAATTTACTGTAAGCTGCCATACAAAAACCCCAACGTATTCAAAGAACCCCTGTGTACTCTTATTTATCCACTGAATGGCAAGCTTCCCGACATGGATAAAAAATCACAATAAAGGCATATGCATCATTTTCAGACACTGCAAGCAGAATAAACCTTTCTCTATCACCCCCAAAATCCCAGGTTTCTGTGACATTTATTTTTTGGTACAAATATATTGAAGGCAGTTTTATATCAAGATGTGCAACTGGGACCTGTCTCATTATTTTTTCCTTTCTGTTTGGACACTCAACAGTGCACACCGTGATGTGAGCATAAACACAGATTGTATCGGCACTTACAAGGCTAAGTTCTTTGGATTTTGAGGAAGGAGTGCTGCTGGAAGATGCTATTGAGGCTGGGCTAATTGGTGCATCTTTCTTGAGCAGACGAGTCTTGTCCAAGCCGTTCTCCCTTGGAGAATGTGCAGGGCTTCCTCGTGGAGATGATGGATCCTAAAAACAAACTGTATTTATTATCAGGGCATTCTACTTGTTCTAGGTTGGATGAGCAACATATAGCTCATTTGGCATTGCCTTCATAATGAAGCCCACAGATGGTATCATCTCCTAAGGTTTGCAGAAATGGCAGCTAGCCAGAAAACCACAAAATAAACCCCACATACCCTAAAGTGCAGAGTGATGTCGCTGTGGGGTTAACAGTATAATGACAAGATTTATACTGGATTCTAAAAATACATGTAATTAGTAGAGATATAAAAATAATCACATTTGGTTTCACTGAGTTTCTCAAAATGCAATTTCTATTTGTCCTTTTTTTTTTCATCCCAAGTGGCAAGACGGTGTGCTCCTCCCCTACTGAACCCAAACAATTTTAAAACGGATTTCCTTCAGTTTGTGCATTTATAAGTGGATTTGGCCTAATATATGCATTTTCTCCAATTACTGGAGTATATTTCTGCATCCCAATTATGAACATTTCAGGTATTTGCATTTTAAAATATGCACATTCTATTTTGTGCACTCTGTTTCTTGGAAATGCCCCGCAAGACTCACAAGGGCATGAATGCTCCAGGTCAGATGCACATTTTCTTGCAACAGATAAATATTTTTGAAATGTTTACAATACAGTAGCTCAGGAAAAAAAAAACACTTCATACATACCTCATTGGAAACATCAACCACCAGGTTATCATCACTTTTTTCACCATCACTATCCTGCAAGGAAGAAGCAGGAGGGAAAGAAGAAAGAAAATAATGCTTAAGTATGCCAGAAGTCCAGTCTAGTAAAAATTTACTTTAAAAAAACACAAGTTTAAGCCTTATAACAGCACTCTTCCCAAATGGTTATTGTAAGAAAATCATAAGAGGATCTAGGAACAAAGGCAGCTGACTTATGCTGAATAAAACCAATGGTCCATCTAGCCCAATGCAGTCAACGCAGGAAGTGGGTTTTTAGGTTTTCAATCAGGATTTTGTCTGGGTGTATTCAGGGTGACATGGCATTTCTTCCCATCAAGTATATATACAAGAACAAACAGGCCATGCTTTATACTTTTCAAGACTGGGCTGCTGAAAGATTGTTCTGTTATTTCTATTTCTATTCAAATGAGAGAACCTGAATTTAAATGTGTTTGTGTTTTGCTCCTTCAAATTTTGATTTATGGTGAACCTAGGCAGAACCTATCATGGGGGTTTCATGGCATGATTTGTTATTACCTTCCTCTGAGGCTGAGAGAGTATGACTTGTTTCCCCCATGATCCAATGGATTTTCTTGGCTAAGTGAAAATTTTAACCCTGGTCTACCAGAGTCCTACTCCAACACAAAAATCACTGCATCATGCTGGCTCATTTGAATTCCGGTAGATCTATCTAGTCAATTTTAAACAGTGAATTTCAAATATAAATTCCATTTGTATTTTAATACATGTATTTGTATTGTATTTTAATCCTTGTACTAGGTATTTTAATATATGCATTTTGAAATAGTGTGTTTTAATAATTCTGTTTTATGGTATGTATTTTATAGAGATCTGTTTTAACTGTGTTGTGCCACACCTTGAGAAGTGAAGAGAGGTTGGTAACAACTAAAATTTTGTTTTTTGTGATGATGATGATGATGATGATTATTATTATTATTATGAAGGAGGAGGAGGAGGAGGAGATGCAATTCATGAGTAATCCCCAAAGGGAGCTTCTAAATGCAGACTCCAGCTTGATACCCTGAGCAGGGCTATGATAACAGGTTACTACAAAACATGTGATGACAACATCTCAACAATTCTTTCTTCATTTAATGCCCTAACAACTCTCCAGTTTTCTCAGGACAGGAAAAGGGGGCATGCAGTAGTTGTGCAGGCAACTCCAGCTTCTTTGTGAAGATTCTCTTCTTGACAAAGAGTGCTACTAGAACTACATACTCACATAGTATGATGACATTATTTGCTTCCCTTTATGTTTCATGGCAGGATAGGAAGGCCTGTTAAAGAGTTTGAGAACCCTGTTTTATTCCCCTTCCATTTGTGGGTTAAGTTGGGAAGGTGGAGGCTGCAGAGGTCTTCAAACATGGGCAAAACGCTCAAGCTGCCTTTGAGGCCAAACCCAGTATGGCTGGGTATCTTCATATTCACTTAAAAGAAAAAAGAAACAGGAAAATATAGGGATGACAGTACTCACATAACGAGTTGCCATTTCTTTTTCTTCTGTCTTCTGCTTTTTGCTTTCAGAAGAATAGTCTGTGGAATTTCTGTGTTTCTCAGAGCCTCTGAAACTGGCTGACGGAGACACAGATGAGCTCTGAAATGGGAGGGAAGAACAGGAAAGGTAAGAAATGAAGAATTATCTCCAATTTATGTGTTGAATTGTAGGCATCAAATGCATGTCGTTTGGAAGCCACCCTGAGTCCCTCTTAGGGGGTTGAGAAGGGCGGGTAGAAGTACCTGAAATAAATAAATAATAAACAAATAAAATTTATGTTAGGAAGATTTTAAGAAGCAATGCATGTTCCTTGAGGAGGCAACCTATGAGCTAAAACTCTGTCAGTACCAACAATGCCAATCTGCCAAAGAGCACAATTCAAAGTGCTGGCTTTAGCCTGTAAAGTCCTAAGCAGTTTCGGCCCAGCCTACCTGTCTGAACGTATTGCCCCCTATGAATCATCACAGAGATTAAGATCGTCTGGGGAGACCCTGTTCTCGGTTCCACCTTCTTAGCAAACAGGCTGGTTGGAATGAGAGACAGGGCCTTCTCTGTGGTGGTCCCTGTGTTGTGGATCTCTCTCCCTAGCGATATAAGGGCAGCCCCCTCTCTCTTAGTGTCCAGAAAGAGAGTCAAAACCTGGCTCTGGGAGCAGGCATTTGAAAAATAGAGCAGTGCAGGAATGTTAGTGTGGAATATGTGCAATTTGACTATGGATTGGCCTTTAAATTATGACTCTGGATGATGTGATTAATTGAAATGTATTTTTATTATGCCTATTATGTTTTAATGTTTAACTTATGTCTTAACTGATGTGGTATGTTTTAAGGCACCATGGAGGTGTGATTGTAAGCTGTCTTGAGTCACCTTCTGGGTAGAGAAAGGTGGGATATAAATAAGGCAAATAAATAACTAAATAAATAACAAGTGTTTTTTTTTAAAAAAAAACACTGTTTGCAGTTTTTAACTTTGTTTGTGGTTTTATATACATTATAACTGTATCCTCAATTCACTTCTGACACGATAAATATATAAGGACCAACCATCTTCTGTTTCCATCAAAAACAAGTAATAGAAAATACATCCTGGGTAGCTCTAACACAGCTGAGCAATAGGGAAAATATGGAGGACTGCTCTAGCTTCCCACAACAAACACCGACCTACAGAACTTAGGGCCCTTCCAAACTGCCCTTTATCCCAGGATCTGATCCCAGATTACCTGCTTTAAACTGAAATATACGAGTTCCCACAGTCAGATAACATGGGATAAACAGATAATCTGGAATCAGATCCTGGGATAGAGGGGCAGTGTGGAAAGGCCTTTAGTCATAAGCAGATCTACAGCAGGCTTCTCACTTGCAAAATCTATTACTTGAAAAAAGATCTACTGATATGGAACATCTCCAAGCTGCCTTTCCCAGTTGATACATCATAATCTTTTCCTAAAGATTTAATTTGTAATACATCCTTTAGCCTCCTGATACAAGTAACAAGTTGTGGCATTATGTCTCAACCAGGTATGTTTGTAGGCGGTCCTTGGGATGGAAGGCGAGGGTGTACCCTCTCTGTGAACAGACCTATTTACTGATATAGTTATGAAATAACAAGTGCTGCAAACTTGCAGTGTTGGGAGAAAACCTTTCTTTGCTATGCCCTTAGATATGTCATGTTTGAGCTTTGTTGTAAGCTGCCTTGGGTCCCTATCAAGTAAGAGCAGAATAAAAATAAAATAAAATAGCCTGCATGATGCAGGAGAGTTAGTCTCTCACAAGGAAAAGTGAAAGCCAAGTCCCAATAACTGGAACAGACCACCCTATCCAAAATCTATGCTGCTATTCCACTGTAGGAATTAAACACTGAAGTACAATTTTTGCAAAGCCACCCAACCTATAGTGAAAGAAAAAGAGAAGGAATTCTGACCTACAATAGTTAACAAGGACAATTACTATGTTGATGAATGTTTTGATAGTTACTAGTATATTAGCTCTCGGTATATGGAGTTGCTTTTCTTGGGTTATTTCTGCATTGATATTTATCCTGTCATTACCACCACATATTTTTTCTTATATCCTATTTTACAAACTCTTGAAGTGTACTCCACAGAAAGAAGTGGAACTTGTTAACCACTTCAATATGGGGGTAACAAAACAGAGTGGATGAAAGCATTTTGATGCACGTGTGAACTTCTTATCCCAGGGCCTGATCTAGCTCAAAGATGTTGCTTTTGGTTTTCTCTTTCCAACATAAATGGAAAAACTAATATCTCTTTGTTGTCACCGATAGGTGACTAAAGATAACAGTGAGGGACTCATAGCCCTACTTTGCCTTCTCCTTGGTTTTTTTCTGATTCGGGAGAAGATAAAGCCAGCTCCTAACTGTAGTGAATATTTCTTTAAAAATTTTTTTTGAAGGGATCAAACTATGTACATGCATAGGTATGTCATTTCTTTTGATGAGAACAAAATTGTTTACAGACACACTAAGCACGTACACACACACACATGAACTATATCATCAAATGGGGAAAAGAGACAACTATTCTATTTTGCTCAAGTAAAACACAACAGATACAGAAATATCAGCACTAATAATGAATCTTACAGTTATGACATAATACTGTTATGCCACCAAAGATGCTTTCAAGTGGTTCATTCTCTTACAGAACCAGAAACATATGGAAATAGGGGCCACATGGGATTTTTTTTTCATGTCAGAAGAGACTTGAGAAACTGCAAGTCACTTCTGGTGTGAGAGAATTGGTTGTCTGCAAGGTCGTTGCCCAGGAGACACCTGGATGATTTATGTTTTACCATCTGGTGGGAGGCTTCTCTCATGTCTCCACACGAGAAGCTAGAGCTTGACAGACGGGAGCTTACCCTGCCCCCTGGATTCAAACCGCCAACCTGTTGGTCCACCAGTCCTGCTGGCACAATGATTTAACCCACTGTGCCACCAGGGGCTCTGTCACATGGGATATTCCACAGGAATAACAACAGAAACAATTTCAGGTTATGGCCAAAGCTGGATCCATGCCTCCTGTTCTCACACCTCGAGATAGCTTTTTCATTCCTACTTTAGTCACCCTCCATTGTGATTTGGCATGTTGGGAATTGGAATCAACAACAAAAAATTGTAACTGCCCTTCTACTAGAAATAGCTGTAGTTAGGATCAAGTCCTTTTTCCTGTGTCCTAGTACTATTAGAATCTGAGACTTTTCACAAATCTTTATGTAAATAATGTTATGCATGTCTTAAGAAAACCCCTGTTCCATTTATATTCATTCCACAAATGGAGAGAAAGCAAATTATAATTTGAATTCAATTCACTATGACTCCTCACTCCCTCTTAAGTAATTGGCTGCAATAAAGGGGAAAACTAATTACTGAATGACAATTAGAATGATGGCTAAAGAGCCAAGAGTAAACCACTGCTCTGATTTAAACCTAAGTATTTATTTTCATAAATTTGTATCCACATGGATTCATTTTTCTCAATCTAGTTAGCCTCAGTGCTGCAAATACCCTTTTAATCTTTGATTCTAGTGCTTAATAAAGTTATAATCCAGAGCACCCTACTAGCATGATAAAGTAGCTAATTACAACTAGCTTTTTAAAGGATGGTCTGCATGCTGAAGTAACATACACTCCTTAGCAGCCAAACTGTCTGGGGCTAACAGAGGCAAATATACACGTTTGTAATTATCATTACTACCTACCCCTATGTTATGGATTTATAAAGTCTGAGGTTAACTTGAGAGTATCATATGCACAAAGTGATATAGTAGAAAAAGAGTGAATTTACTGTATAGAATGAAAATGTTTCAATAGCAATTCCTTCTTTCCTGGAGGGGCTAAAGATGTCTAAAACAAATTTAGGTAAAAGTAAAGGTTTTCCCCTGATGTTAAGTCCAGTCGTGTCTGACTCTGGGAGTTTATCTCCATTTCTAAGCCAAAGAGCTGGCACTGTCCATAGACACCTCCAAGGTCATTTGGCCAGCATGACTGCATGGCGCACCATTACCTTCCCGTTGGAACGGTACCTATTGATCTACTCACATTTGCATGCTTTAGAACTGCTAGGTTGGCAGAAGCTGGGGCTAACAGTGGGAGCTCATGCTGCTCCCCAGATTCAAACCTGTGACCTTTTGGTCAGCAAGTTCAGCAGCTCAGCATTTTAATCCACTGTGGGCTCCAAAATTTAGTGCAACCAAATAAAATTATTAAATTTTAGAATTAAAAAGAACCATGTCATTTAAAAATAGACTAACATATATTTCTAAGCATGGCATGAAGAAAGGTTCACACAAATAAATATCAGAAAATTTCTTCTGTTCAAGTGGCCAAATGCTTCTATGGGGTGTAGCCACAGGATCTGTCACTTGGAGTCCAGCACTGTAACAAAAGATAAATCTAAAATATTGTATAAAGTACAGATTGATGGTGCTAACTACAAAAAAATCCATATAAGTCTTAAAAGGGAGTTAGAAAGAGAATTCAAAGAAAAAGAAATAATGAGAATGCTTCATGGCTCTTCCATTTCAAATCACTTTTTACATGTATTGACAACCACGGCCAAATCCCCAAGGATTAGGGGCTTGCAATCATTGTTCCCATCTATAAAAAGAAAGGGAAAAGGGATGATCCTGCGAACCATTGACCAGTCAGACTCCTTAACACTATCAGTAAGCTATATGCTAGACATCTCCAATGAAAACTCTAAGATTGGTTGGACCAAGAAAGCATATTAGCTGAGGAGCAAACTGGATTCAGGGAAGGTCAATCCACCATAGATCAGTGTCTAGTGCTGCAACATCTTGTGGAAAAATATTCCTCCCAAAACATAACCTCACTATATGCTGCTTCTATTGACTTTAAAGCAGCATTTGATTCCATCTCGCAAGTTAAACTTTGGGCTCTTCCAGTTTTGTTTTTGAGTGTGGCAGCTATTGCTGAAAGCAGGTGTCTGCTATGACCATGTTCAGATTTACTAATCATGAAGGAGATAATATAAACCCTCTTAGAAAGCCATAAATATACCACTAGCAAAGGGGAAGCATTCATGAGCAGTCTACTTGCAATAATTAGTGCTTCAGATTACT